CCTCTCTCCTCCCTCCTCCATCCTCCTCCTTCTCCTCCTCCTTTTCCTCTTCCTTCCTCCTCCCCCCCTCTCTTCCCTGATTATTCCTCCTCTCTCCCCCCTGCGTCCCCTCTGTTCTCCTCCCACCTCCTCTTGCCTATTCCCTCATCCTTCCCCTCTTCATCCTGGGAAGACCCCCCTCCCCCGTAGAATCATAGCATTGGTCTGCACATCAGCAGCTCCGTGGATAGCATGATGCTTCACTTGCGGTGCTCCGCGAATCCCACTTCCCCTGGGTCCCGGACGTTAATTATTATTATGTATTTATTCCCGGGAAATAAATGGATCCATTGTTTTTTTCCCACACCGGAAATTTTATCCGCGCGACACAAAAATAGGATCCACGAAACTCTCCCACACCCGAAAACGGGATCTAATTGGATCTATTGATGTTCTCAAATTTTAATCCAAGAGGAAAACTTTCGGCCTGGGGAATTATTCATCATCATCCTCATCGTCCTGATCCTCATTATCAGCACCATCGTCATCATCTGCAGTTCATCATCACCGTCGTCGTCGCCGTCATCAGCAGCAGCATCATCAGCGTTACCATTATCATCATCATAATCATCATCATCACCATCATCACCATCATCCTCACCCGCACCTCGCTCGAGGCATCCTCAAAATCTGCTCCACCATAATCATCCGCATCATCCTCATCATCACCACCATCATCATCATCTTCATCATAAGCATCGTCATCATCACCATTGTTGTCATTATCATTGTTGTCATCGTCATCAGCAGCTCATCATCGTTACCATGCCCTGAGTAGACCTTAAGGGTGACCCTGAGGAGGAGCAGGAATAGGGAGGTGAGGTGAGGAGTCGGCGCGGTAGGAGTAAACATTCACTGCGTTGAGCTCCCCATATGTGCATCTATGTGCACGGACCGGTCCGCCGTGAAAATCTAAGCGCAAAGGTTTTCGAATGCAAGCGGGCTTGAGGTATAATCTGATTTTCGTATGGTTGAGTGCGAGTGTCAGTTATTCTAGGTATGAGAGAGTCTGGGTACGAGTGGGCCTGCAAATGCGTAAGTCAGAGTGTGAGCGAGTCTGAGTGAAAGTGAGTCCGAGTGTGGGTAAGTCTGGGTGTGAGTGGGTCTGAATATGAGTTTAACGAGTACGAGTCTGAGCCCGAATGGGTCTGAGTACGAGTGAGTCTCGCTACGAATAAGTCTGAGGGTGGGCGGGTCTGAGTGTGAGTAATTCTGAGTGTGGGCAATCCTAAATGTGAGTGAGTCGGAGCATGAGTATGATGAGTATGAGTCTGAGTGGGTCGGTGTACGACTGAGTCTGAGCACGAGTGAGTCTGAAGTGGGTGGGTCTAAGTGGGAGAGAGTCTGAATGTGCGTGAATGTGAGTGTGAGTGAGTGTTAGTATGAGTATGCTGGGTACGAACATGAGTATGAATCGTCTGAGCACGAGTGAGCTTTAGCATAAGTAGTGAGTCTGAGACATCCTCGCAATCTGGGCCCCTTGGGGTGCGACAGCCAGCGCCTCACCCGACACGTCCTCAGAATCTGCCCTGAACGCGCACGAATCTGGCCACCAAAACAAGCAAACCGCTCGAGACAGCCTCGCAATCTAGGCCCCTGGGGTGCGACAACCAACACCTCGCCCCGGACATCCTCAAACTCTGCTCCGAACGAGGAGGATGTTGTAACCCCAAACAGGCAAACCGATCGAGACAGACAGACAGACAGAAACCCTACGCCCAAGGCGCGTCGGCAAGCGCACGGAGGAGTGCACTACCCCCTGACGGCTCCCCTTTGGGTATGCTGAAACCAGCGACTCGCCAAAGACATCCTCAGAATCGCCCAATACATTCGCAAACTCTAATCCGAAAGCGGGGGATACTGCGGCCCCAAACGAACAGCCTGCTCGAGAAATCCCCGCAATATGTGCGCGAACGGAGAAATACAATACCCCCTGGCGGCTCCCCCATTGGGCGTGTTGAAATCAGGAGCGCATCGCCCGAAACATCCTCAGAATCTGCTCCGAACGCAGACGGATCTGGTCACCGAGCCAAGCACACCGCTCGAGAAATCCTCGTAGTCTGGCCCCCTCTGGATTTCGACAGCCAGCGCCTCGCCCGAGACATCCTCAACATCTGCTCCGAAAGCGGACGAGGCTGCTGCCCCAAACAAGCAACCCGCTCGAGACATCCCCGCAACCTGGGCGCGAACGGAGGAGTGAGATACCACATGGCGCTCCCCTTTGGGTGCGGAAACCAGCGCCTCGCTCGAGACATAATCAACATCTGCTCCGACAGCGGAGGATGTTGCGGCCCGAAACAGGCAACCCGCTCAAGGCATCTCCGCAGTCTGGGCGCGGACGGAGGAATGAGATACCCCCTGGCGCCCCCCCCCTGGGGTGTGCTGAAACCAACGTCTCGACCGAAACATCCTCAACATCCGCTCCGTCCGCATTATCATCTGAATCATCCTCTGCATCATCATCATCATCATCATCATCATCATCATCATTATCATCATCAGTATCATCATCAGCAGCATCAGCATTATCATCAGTATCAGCACCATCATCACAACCACCATCATCATCAGCGCCATCATCATCACCAACATTATCGTCATCAACATCAGCAGTATTATCATCAGTAGCATCACCATTATCAGTAGCACCATCATCATCATCATCGTAGTCGTCCCCATCGTCATCATGATCAGCAACCTCATCATCATCACCGGACCATTGTCATCACCATCACCATAACACAACTGTTGCCATAACCATCATCAGCAACAACACGGTCCGGACTGTCATCATCACCATCACCATCATCACAATCAGCATCATCAGCATCATCATCAGCGCCATCATCATGATCATCATGTCGGTCATCATCCTCATTCACCATCCTGATCAGCAGCATCACCATCGGCATCGCCATCATCTACCAACAGAGGCAGCATCCACTAACATCATCATCAGCATCATTATCAACATCAGTGCATCAGCATCATCGTCACAGCCTATGGACGCTCATCCTCATATCATAACCTGGGTGTGACTCTGGGTGAGGAAGAAGAGGCGGAGGGAGGTGAGTGGATGGGTCCTCGGCGCGGTTAGAGTAATAACAAGAACCCCATCTTGTGGAGATGGGGGATAACAAGGACTCCATCCTTTGGACTGGGGAATAAGGAGAACCCCATCCTTAAGATATGGGACCCAAACAACGGCTCAGGGATTGAAGCCGAAACCGGGGCGTAAAAACTTAGCCTGGCGAAGGATCCGACCATATTAAGTTGTGAATACCGCAGTTGTCAATCTCATCATCGGTGGAGCTCCCTGTAGGGCCACGAAACGTGTGAGGGGTGTGCCGAAATGGGTGGGGGGACGCATGTGGACACCACCACTGGGGCCAAGGGTGGAGCGACCTTTGGGACCACGAAGCGTGTGAGGGATTTGTCAATATCATCTTGGGAAGAGCTCCCTGTAGGAATACGAAACGTGTGAGGGGTGTGCGGACATGGGCGGGGGGGACGCATGCGAACGGTACCACTGGGGCCTTCAGTGGAGCTCCCTATGGGGCCACGAAACGCGTGAGGGGTGAACCCAATTCGGTGGCGCCAACGCATGCGAACGGTGCCTCTGGGGCCTTGGGTGGAGCTCCCTATAGGGCCACGAAACGTGCGAGGGGCGAGCCGACATGAGTGGCGCAGACGCATGCGAACGGTGCCAATGGAGCCTTGGGTGGAGCTGCCTATGGGGCCACGAAACATGTGATGGGTGTGCCGAAATGGATGGCGCAGGCGCATGCGAACGGTGCCACTGGGACATGCAATTGAGCTCCCTATGGGGCCCCGAAACGTGTGAGGAATGTATCGAAACTGGCGGCGCAGACGCATGCGAGCGGTGCCACTGGGGACTGGGGTGGAGCTCCCTATGGGGCCACAGAACGTGTGAGGGGCGTGCTGACATGGGCGGCGCGGACGCATGCTAACGGTGCTACTGGGGGGCCTTGGATGGAGCTCCCATTGGGCCACGCAGCGTGTGAGAGGTGAGCCGGATTGGGCAGCGCGGACGCATGCGAACAATACCACTTCGGTGGAGCGCCCTGTAAGGCCACGCAACGTGTGAGGGGTGAGCCGGATTGGGCAGCGCGGACGCATGCGAACGGTACCACTGGGGCTTTCAGTGGAGCTTTCTATGGGGCCCCGAAACGTGTGAGCAGTGTAACGCATGCGAGCGATGCCACTGGGGCCTTGGGTGGACCTCCCTGTAGGGCCCCGAAACGTGTGAGGGGCGTGCGGACATGGGTGGCGCGGGCGCATGCGGAATATGAACATGGGGCCTTGGGTGGAGCTCCCTATGGGGCCACGGAACGTGTGAGGTGTGTGCCGAAATGGATGGCGCGAGCGCATGCGAACGGTGCCACTTCTGTGGAGCTCCCTATGGAGCCACGAAGCGTGTAAGGGGTGATTCGGAATGGGCGGCGCGGACGCATGCAAACGGTGTACTGGAAGTTTCCGTAGAGCTCCTATGGGGCCAAGAAACGTGCGAGGGGTGTGCTGAAATGAGTTGGTACCGCGGACGCATGCGAACGGTGCCACTTCGGCCTTCAGTGGAGCTCCCTATGGAGGCCGCGAAACGTTTGAAATGTGTGCCAAACTGCGTGGCGATGATGGTGATGATGACGGCGATGATGATGACGATAATGATGATGACGGCGATGACATGGCTGCTCTCGGTAAGGGGTGTGCCGAAACAGAGGCATGCGGAGGGCAGAGGCAAGGAGGGGGAGGAGGGAGGGGGAGGAGGAGGGAGTGAGTGAGGTGGGGCGCTATCGCCTCAAAACGAAGACCCAACACCAGAAGATCGTTGGGAAACAGCGTAACGAAACCAGAAAAACAAACCGGCCCCTGAACTGAGGGAACTAAAACGGCAAAACGAAAACTGCCCTGTCGTCTCCAAGGGCCACTAAGTGCGGGGCAGTCCCAGACTCTGCAGCAGGCCGCCAGGCTCGCCGCGCAGGAAGTGCTCGAAGATCAGCAGAGTCAGCAGGGTGACCGGCAGACTGGCCCCCACGGTGATCAGCACGCCGCGCAGAGAGTCGTCTGTGAAGTAGGCCTCCTGCATCTTCTTCTCCTCTGCCTGCTCCTCTGGTGAGAGCGGCGCCGCACGGAACAACGACCCCAGCGGGTGGAGCGGCCACGTCCTCCGGTAGAAGGTGCCCCAGTAGTCCACCATGCCCGCGTACCACCCCTCGCTCGCACCGCTGATCAGCGCGACGGGCCGCCAGGACGCTCGCCGTCCTACCTGGGGAAGCGAAGAGATACCAATGCCGCTGCTCCCAGGACCCATCCCGGGGTGCGTTCTAACCAGGATTCCAAAGCGAATCCACATGTCGCGACGAGGGCACCACCAAGGCCAGACAAAGGCAACAGCGAGAGAAGAGCACCTGCATCGGTATGTTACCTGTCACCCTTGTCCCCACCACCAGAGCCAACAACAGCAACACCACAAGCCTAGCGCCGCTCCGGCCCGCCATCTCCCGCCGCAGCGGCGCGCTCGTCGGGGCCGGCACCTCAGGAGGGGATGCAGGGCCACAGGCCGGGGCTCAGGGGCAGCGACAGGGGGGGAATGGCGGGGAGGAGAGGGACGGACAGGAGGGGGAGGGGAGCGATGGGGAGCGAGAGGGCACGGGCGGGAGGGGAGGGGAGGGCACGGGGGAGGGCGGGCAACGGGGAGGGGGAGGGCAGGGGCGGGGAGGGGAGACGAGGGCAGGCTGGGCGAGCTCGCGCCATATCTCACATCCCACCCCTCCCTCCCATCCGCTTCAATTGTGCCCAGTGTTCCGACTCGCCAGTCCAGGTGCCGAATCTGACCTTGATCCTTGAATGGCACTTGCAACGCGAGGGGGCCAGGGGCCAGGCGAAATCATGGAGGAGGACGAGGGACTAGGAGGAGAAAGAGGAGGTGAACAACGACGACGACGACGACGACGACGAAGCCGCCAACTCGCCACACCTGGCGGCGAGGACGAGGACGAACGACGGCTGCCCGCACCGCGCCCACGACGTGATGCCTGAGAGCCAGGGGGGGGGGCCCACGGCGGCACCACTGCGGCCGCAGGAGACGCGGCGCCCCGCACTGGACGTGATCGGGGGGGACGTGTTCGTCTCGAGTGCAGGCCAGAGGAGGGGGCGGGGAGCGCTGCGTGCGCCGAGGCTCTCGGGGACAGCCGAAGGCGATCCGAGTGGAGCCGCACGCACACACTGGAGCCTCGTGCAAGGAACCATTCGCGGGGGGAGGCGGCTCCCCGCACCGGACATGATCAGGGGGAGGAGAGTGCAATCCAAATGGGGTAATGGTGGTATGGGGGCAGGAGCGCGGCAGAAGCGGAAGCGAAGGCACCCTTCGCGACAGCCCGAGACGAACGGCCCAAGACGGTCCGTTTGGAAACACGCACGAAAGATGGCACAACGCCTCGGAGAGATCCGAAGGCGAACACGCCAGACCCAGGCAAGGACAGCAACATGATGCAATCGAATGTATGGTCTGCTTCGCCTTCGCTATTTGAAGGAACCCAGCCTTTCCCTTCTCATACTGTGGGGCCTCCTGGCCGCCCGAGAAACGTTGGAGGGCCGACGAAGCACATTGGACACGCTTGAGAGGCGGCGCTCCAGACCGGCCATGACTGGGAGGGAGAGGTGTGAGGGAGAGGTGTGTACTCATTCTGTGAACCGGTAAATGGAGGGGAGCGGGGCAGCCAAGAAAGAGAGGGGGTATGTAGTATGCCGAAGGCCTTTGGGCGAGTCCAGATCCTGAGGGAGAGGGGAAGGGGCGGCGCTGGTGTCACGTGTGACATCCGAACCTGTCCTTCCATCCCTTCCCACTTGTGCTTGATAGGCTTCGTCGTTTCACCAGATCTGGTGTCGAACCGAACCTTCGCGCATGTGTCGTCCTTGACCCATCGATCACAATAAGAAAACCACAGGGGCCTGACGGGTCTCAGACTGGGCCAGGACAGGCGGGTGGGGGGTGGGTGGGGCGACATCGATGTGGAACATCTCGTGAAGAGCGCACAATCAAGCTGCGTGGTATTCGAAGTAGAACGTCTGAGGCCAAGGCCTCGCTCTCGCACAGAGCAGGATGAGCTGGAGTAAGCAGGGAGACGGCGCTGAGGGGCGAGGGGAAGAGGGAGGAGAAAGGGGAAGGAGGAGGAGAAGGCGGAGGAGGACAGCAGAAGGAAGGAGCGGGAAGGAGGTGGGAAGAGGAGGACGGGGATAAAAGAAAGGAGGAACATGACATTTGGATGCCCGAAATGGGTACGGAAAAATGAACCTGGCGCGACCGCAATTAGGGGAAAGTTTCATATTGCATGGGCGCAATGCTTGGCTTTACTTGGCATGAGGCACCAGGGGCGGGGAACCTGGAAAACTGGAGGCTTGGCATTGCATGGCATTGCTTGGCATCAGGCACTGGGAGCGCGGAACCCCCGAACAACTACCAAAATAACAATAGGAGGCACCAGGGGCGGGGAACCCGGGGGAACCTCAGAGTAACGGACAACTCAACATTAGTAGGCACCAACCTTCAACCAAGTAAGAACCCCTTCGGCAAGCCTGATAGGGGAAAAATGGGCACGAGGGCCAACAACAAATGTTGTCCAAAACCGAGCGCGGCCGCTGTTGGGCAGGCGAGTTTTCTCAAACGGACATCGGCCGCAGCGACGCCGATAGCGAGTCCTGCTCAGGATGAACAGGAACCACTGTTGGTACTCGTGCCAGTTTCGATCCTACTGATGGGAAGAAAAAAAAACGATTGACTGTTGACTTCTCCTGGCGCCTGTGCCGGAGGCCGCCCCGGGCGCGCCGTCTTCGCGGCGCAGGAAGGGCCAACCATCCCTCCCCTCAGGCGCGCCCCCGCGCGCGCAGGCTGACCGGCAGAAAGCGCATGCACTCCACCACAGTGCCAAGCCAGAACCATCCTGGGCCCTGGCATGGCGCCCTCCCGTCAGAGGCCAGGAGGGTGCGTGCACCGTCGCTGGGCTCAGGATGGCTCTGGCCAGATGCGGTGGCGGCGTACAGTTGCCTTCCCTGACCTTCCAGGAGGAGGGGAAGCCAGAAAATAGCACCAGGACCTCGACATCTAAATTCCAGTCGAGGATTTTCAAGCAGTCGAGATGAGTCTATGGGTCTGCAAGGCTAATCTTGTAGAGCACTCTGGACGGTCAGGGTTCTGCCGAGGGGGAGTGCCCCCCAGCGCGCGCCCCTACGCGCTGGCCAGCCCTACCCCGCCTAGCGGACGCCATGCAGCGGTCGGGGGGGTGGGGGGAGGGAAAGGGGGGGGGGGGGGGCGGCAGGCGGCAGGCATGTTCCCCACAGCGTCAAAGCGTGTATGCCCAGGGCAATGGTAAATGAAGAACGGACGTGGCCATCGAGTGAACATCCCCTCGGGCCCAACCGGCCGAACGTGCAACTCTCGCATCACGGCAGCAAGCACAGACGGGGAAGGGGAAAACGAGATCCAGAAAAGGAGCAAAAACACGGCACACGCCCCCACGAGCCAGGGCGTCCGCATCAGTGGAGGAGAAATCGCCAACGGATGCAAGCCCGTTGGACGCCCGTGTCTAAGCTTTCCGAGCGGGGCTGGCCACCGAAAGTGGTTAAGGATGTACCGAGGGGGCAAGGATGCAAGGGTCCCCTCAGGAAGGTTGCCAATCCTTACTATCGGCTTCGACTGCAGGAGGAAAGCGGAGGGCCGAACGAGGGAGGAAACCACAGTGTATGCCAAATCAAAACCCACCATGGCTCCACAGGCGGAGGCCATCGAACGAAACACTCAAGAACTGCATAGAACGGTCGCGATCGACTGCCGTACCAACGACGTATATCATCTGAAGTGGCCGATGGAGGCGATGGCCGAAGCCGCACAGACTGGGCACAGAGAGGTGCTTGTGACCACACAGATAGCAACCGCTTGCGCCAGCGACCCCGCGCGCAACCCGGCCCACGCGCGCAGCGCATGTCACGTGGGGCGCACGCGGGACGGCGCGCATGAAGACAAGGTCAGGAGGAAGACAGCGAGAAGGCTAAATCCGCCGACCCCAAGGGCGGGGGGCCACTTGCTTGTCATGCTGGTAACGCCCGTGCGTTTCCCGCTCGGTCTCTTGTTCTCCAGCCTACGCCGTGCTCCAACAAGGGAAATTGAACAAATGCTGTCCTCTAGCTTGTTGTTTTGCTGACACTAGGCCTGCAGAGCCACCCCCTTCAACCCTTACGCGACTGTCCGACCATATGAACGACTTTTTCACGAAACGCAAATGAACTTGCTATTCATATTGTGCATGTGAATACGTGTTGTGCGTACCCGCCTGAGCGCCCCCTTAGATCGATTCAAGACGGCCCAAGGAACACCCAAGAGATGCCAACGATTGCCCCAGAAGGCTCCAAGACAGCCCAGGATGCCCACAAAAAACACAATGACATCTCTCAAAAGCATTTCGCCCACGACCCAGGCACGGTGGCGGGATGGGCCGAAAGCCACTAGGATGGCGAAATATCGCTCCAGATGGCTTCCAACATGCTTCGAAGAAGGCCCCGAGTCCGCTCCCAGATGGGTTCAGGATGCCCTGGAGCCTCCCAAGGATGCCCCCAAGAGGCCAACAGCCTTCAAAAGCGAAAGTGGAATCATTGTGTTTTGCTTTCTCGACTCCTCGATTCCGATTGGCTCCTGAGGCCTCAGGATAGCTCCAAGAGGGCCTAAGATGATATTGGCCCAAGATGGCCCCAAGACGGCCCCAATGGCGCCCAAGAGCGCCCCAAGAGGACACATCCCCGCCCTTCGCTTGAAGCAAAAACCACTGAGCAGCCAAATATGTTGTTTCAACGATTGGGGCATCTCGGGGACATTTTTGGGAGGCTGCTGGACCAACATGGCTCCAAAAGTCCTCAACGAACCCAAGATGGCATCCAAGACTGCTCGAGATATGCAAAGATGGCTCAATATTGCCACCAATATGACTCCAAGAGGCTCCAAGACCGCTCCGAGTGGCACGGAGCCACCAAGAAGGCCCCCCAGAGGCAAAAGTCCTTACCAGCACGAGGTGAAACCATTGATTGATGCCTCTTCGTCTTTTCGTTCCCGATCTGCTTTGATGGCCTCAAGATGGCTCCAAGAAGGCTCCAAGCGGGGCCAAATATGGACTCAAAACGGCCCCAAGAGTATCCATGAGGCGACTTCTGGAGCTCCAGAGGTGCGACGGAATGAGGGGACCCCCGATCGGTGTCGTCCAAGATGGCCCCAAGAGGTCTCCCGAAACTCCCCAGAAAGAAAGCCCCAAGGCCCCCCCAAGAAGGCTCCAGAAGCTCCCAAAACGGCTCCAAGAGGGCGCGAGGCCCAGGACGTTGCAGAAGACCGCAGATGCATTGATTTGAACCGTCGTTGGCCCCATCAAAGCCTCACAAAAAGAACGCGCACCCATATTTCAAGCTCACCGCCCCAAGAGGCCCCCGGGAGGCCCCAAGAGGCACCCCAAATGCCCCAAAAGGCTCCAACAGGCCCCCCCCAGATGCCCCTAAAGAACGCTTAAAAAGGCTCCCAAATTGCCACGGAACTGCCTCCCTGCCAGCTCTCCGAAGGGAGCCCACAACACATGCATGAGAACTCTGTCCCACGACCCAGGCATGGTGGCGGGATGGGCCGCAGGCCACTAGAGAGAAAGGAGAGGGCAGAGAGAGGGGGACAGAGAGAGAGGGACAGAGAGAGAGAGAGAGAAGGAATCATCATTTACACGAGACGCCAAGCGTCCTCGTGGCAAGAGCGGGGAGCGCTTTCGCACATCCGCCCGCCGCTTCCGCCCGAAGCGACACGTGGGCCCGACCCAGACATACGGCGTCTCGACTTGTCCGAGACACGGGCCCCTGCGCAGGACCCCATGGGGACCCTTCCCACCCAAGGCCACGCTCTTCACCCAGCGGCCGTCTGCGGACGGCACGACTGGTAGAGACCTCCCATGCGGTGTCCGAGCAGGTGGGGTCGGAAGATCGCAGCGCGTCACCGATGCATCGGGCTCCACATTCGAGCCCGCATCGGCGATGCGGCGTGATCCTCCGACCCCATCTGCTCCGACCCCAGTTGGGAGGCCTCTACCTGAGGCCGTCTGCGGACGGCTCGTCGGGACCCGAGTCGGCCTCCGAGGGCAGAGCCCGCCGCCTGCTTCGGTGGCAACTCATGGGAGACTCCTATGTCACCTTGCTGGCTCTTGCAAACCGGCACAGACCGACGCTCATTGACGCTAAGTCGGCGCTTTCTCGTCGATTGCCAGACGCTCGCGCATGCTAGTGCACCCTGCTGACGGAATCCCTCAATAATCCTGTTTGCTCGCAGCCGCGCGGATCCACGCCGCGGTCAAAGGCAGCCGAGGGACAGTCCCCTGGAGCGCATTCACCTCTACGAAGTTCAAGGAGACTCGTTCATCGCCAAGATCGGCCAGCAAGAGAAAAAGAATGCGAGGATGGACATGTCCTTCTGGGTGAAGCCCGGGATCGAGATTCAAGGGAATTCCGAGGCGTGATGCAGAATTGTATCGTTGCTGGCATGCAGTGGTGGTGTTTGTGATTTTGGGCCTCTTCCACCTCTATGGAGGGGCTTATGTTCTGAGGTCGTGTCTCCTCCACCTGCTGAGGGCATTGCTCGTCGCGGGGTTCCTGGTTTCTCTGTCGACAACCGACAAACTGAACGACGAATTGATGCAACACTCGACGTGCAAACCGATACGCCTCAGACTAGCCTGTCGCAGGTGGGTAAATTCGGCGTCACGAGAAAATTCATACCTGCAGTTGCTCCGCCGTCTTGGACGGTCACGAGCTCGCCTTTATGGTTCACTGCAACCACCGCTGGGTTTGGTCGTAACCACGCACCTCCTCGAAACAATTACATACAATCCCATCAACGAAATCCTCAGAGTGGAAGTCCCCTTCACGATAGGCACGAACAATACCAAGGGCGCCGATTCCGCTTTTTTGAACAACGTAGAACAACTTCATGATATCATATCATTTGTTCGGCAACAAAGCTTGAACATCATTCCGCACACAAAATTGCACCGTGATTGGTCTGCCAATGTTTGATAATCGTCCACAAACGAGTGGCCGTGGTGCTTTCGCCGGCGGCTCGGCCAACATACGTGGCAACATATCAAGCGATCTTTCGTTTATCCGCTTTGGCTTTGGAGGTATGCTTGAAATTACAAAACATAAACATGGAACTATTGTAGTGTAGCGAATACATTTTGATCTGATCTTAATGCTGAATAGCGGGCGACACCATGGGACACCATGCTAAACCTACGCATGTGATTCAAGGTGGCACAGTTCATGGTAGCATTTCAAGAAGACTGGAACGCACACAAGGGAATGACTACTATTGCAAACGACGCATGTTTAAGCATGGGTGCAATATTTCCGGATACAACCACTTCGGGCAAAAATGATGTGAAATGCACAGAAAGGGCACATAAAGGGTGTGTGGATGATTCCCTTCCTTGTGGGCGTCGCGGAGCCGGGAGACACCCGGTGAACGGCCTCTGGTATGCCCCGGACTACACGCTGACCTCTGGCATCCTGTCCGTGGCTCTCCAAGATTGGACGACGTTCTCCACGTGCTTCACCGGCTACGTGGTGAAGCAAAACACTCTCAGGATCCCAGACAGCAGAAAACACAAGGCACGGCAAGTACGCAAACAAATAGATGTGTCAATGAGAAAGCAGAACAAATATTTCGCGCACCCTAGGTACAAGCACTTCGGTGCGATTGACCGTCAGACCCTACACGAAGAGGACAAGAACACCGACACAAATTTCAAGACGTAGTCCAACACTACACGGACCAGCCCCTGGACCAGCCGCGAAGCCGTCATGCGGGATGATCCAAAAACCAGGCCTCTCTACATCTCTTCGTGGAAGGATCGGGGGACCCAGGTGGACAAGATGCAAGATGGGGCGTGACATTCTTTCTTGGGGAGCCTGGGGCACAATTTCGAGAACGGCTTCGTGCTGAGATTTGGCCAGATCCCGCCTCTGTCTTGAATGGACGGGTGCAACAGGACCAACAGGACCAGGGCGACGGCTGCGACCAACAACGCCAGGGAGATGTCCGCTATGTGCGTGGTGCTGCTCTACTTGATCATAGAAGGCCCTTTGACTGCTCCAGCTTCCATCTCCTACGACAACACGTATGCCGCCAATCTGGCGCGGCGTATTGGCGACCGAAATAATACGTCAAGTTGGCACGCCGATTATCCAAACCAGCAAACTGTACCAACAAGCTCAACAACTTAATCCTAACCGCCTTCTTTATATAAAATACATACTGGTACCCTGGGCAATACTGTGGCCGACAAGCTTTGCAGACGAGGGCAAGACGGGTCACCTGCTGGCGCCGGGCTCCTTGGGCTGGACAAAACCTTCCTTGGGTTAGACAACACCTGCGTTTGCATTACCGCAGACGCGTTCCCTCAACGATATCGACTCTGAAGAAGACTCTTTTGGAATGGGAGGAAATATGGACATGCCCTCATGGCCCTCTCCCCTCCCCTCTACTCCCTCCTCCCTTTCCGGGTCCATCCATTCCCTCCCCTTTTCCGCCCCCTCCCATCCCCATCGACCCCTCCGCCCCCAACCCTCCCTCCCCCCCTGAACTCGGCGAAGTGGCAGAGACGGCTACGAGACGACGCTTACTGAACAAACGCAAACAGAAATATGAAGACCAGGAGCTGGAGACAGCCAAAGCGTACGCGGGACCGAACTGGCACGATCTCAGCACGATTTTGCGAACTGCGGCGAAAGACACGGTGGGCAGGAGCAAGCGGATGGCAGTCGGCGCGCCCGTCGAGGAAGCCGACTACGACGTCACGGTACAATTACGCGAAGAACTACAACAACCTTGGGAACGATTCCGCACTGCCCCCATACCGGCAGAAACAGCTAAAACTCGACGAAACCATCGTGCTGTTTCTCGCCGCCTTCACCATACAGGGAGCCACGCTCGAGAGACAATCGTACGACATTATTGTCAAGGTCTCAAAAAAGACATGGCGGAGAACGACTTGGCTGTATTCTGGAAAACCTACGTACACTCAGTATTCATCTTCACGGAAAGGCAAATTGTAGCACGGGGCCCAATAGCATAGACGACATCATGAAATCCCTGGAGACCCTGGGAAACGAGGCTTTCGAGGGCGACCCCAATGTCGTAATGCATGGTCTTCCTATGCGCGCTGCTCGCCTGGAGCTCCACGCTTTGCCTTCGGAGGAGGAGGAGGAGGCCCTTTAGCACCTCTCGCGGTTCAAGGAATCGACGCGGGGCTTGGACGAGATCATTGCTCTTATGCTTCGGGAGCGGGCGAAGAATGTCATGCGCTCTTGGCACCTTCAACTCAGAAACTCTGCGCTCAGGACCCGGCGCGGTGGAAACATTTCTTATGTGAAGTGGTGGGTTTCCGCGTGGACTAACAAACCCAAACAGGCAGAGACAATTACCGTATGATTTGGCTCGTTCAGACCATCAGGACCCTCATGGGAATAACCGACGCAAAACGTATATCCAACCACCTGGAATTAGACGATCTTCTGTCAGAATGCGCGGGCTTCGCCGTTCGCTTCGCCAAAGGCGTCGTGGGCCCTATCTTGGTCGGCCGCGTTATGATGTAAAATAACGATTCTGTCAAGAAACCACCACCCCAGAGCGGCACATGTTCTGCCTCGTTTTGTCAGACACAACACAAATTTGATCCTTGAGTGCTACAAATCACCGCCGCGCGAATCTTTGGCCTATCCGGCTTTCCTCCGAACGTGGTGCGGACGGCGAGTGCGCATGACCGTCGCTCAAGTCCACAATCAAGAAGGCCTCTCACCTACGTTCACCATGACCCGAGGTTTTCGCGAAGACGGAACAGCGTCACCAACCAAATTGAATTTATACCACGCCAGCAACAACCAGGACCACCACGTATCGTTCGACCCTTTCTTTAACAAGCCCGGATGTTAGAATCCTAGAACCCTGCTGGGACAGCTAAAGAATCCCACGATCACGCAGCACGGGCAAATCATCAAGCCAGAATAATGAACTCTGCACACAGATCACGGTCAGATAGGTCCCTTCGGGGACGTGTTTCGACTCGTGCAGATGCTGCTCGCGGATGGTACTTGGACTTGGCGCAGGTACTCACAACATGTGGATATTGAACGGATGACTATCGATTTTTTGAGGCCTGGGGCGCGACAGATCACGCGGGCAAAACGGACTGGGTTAGAACCACAAGCGCAGGCCACGACGGGATATTGGTAGAACGAGCTGGGTTCCTGGGGGCTCGGCTTCAATCCGATTGATTTCACGATGAAGATGCCGCTCATCATTTGCATTCAGCTAAGAAAGTTTACCGGAAATCCCATCAACGACAACAGCGTCTACAAATTCCGCTGGAAACCTTGGGAAGATCGCGCTCGGGAAAGAGAAGTGGAACGGGACAAGAACAGAAAACGGGAACAAAGGAGGGGAAGACGAAGGTGGCGGTGAAATGCGTGTCTGTTGTGTGGTGTGCGTGCGTTTGTGCAGTGCGCGTGGCGTGTGTATGTGTGTGTGTGTTGCTGGCGCGTGCGTGTGTATGTGCCTGCGAAGGTGGCACGCGTGTGTGAATGTGGTGTGTGTGTGTGTGTCTGTGTGTAGTGTGTGTGTGTGTGTGCGTGTGCAGTGCATGCGGTGTGTGTATGTGTGTATGTGTGTGCGCGCGTGCGCGCAGTGCCAGTGAGCGCGCGCGCGTCTGTCGGCGAAGTGTCGCCGCCCAGTCTTGGGGGCGCCCCAAGCGACCCAGATCGGCGGCACTGGGCGAAGGCCACTTGAATACGAGTGCCAGAGTGTGAACATGGCCCAAATGCAGCAAGGCACAATATTTCTCTAACTGAGGTCTGCGTGGGATCTGTCACCAACGCGCGCGGGACATGAGGTCTGACAAGGTTGCGATGCTGGACCTGTGCCAACGCCAAAACATCGACGACGGCGAGACTAACGTGGCAAAAAGGCAAGGCCATATCTTGGGCCATGCACTGCGTCGGGACCAACATGGCCTGGAAAGGAAACTGCTTGAAGTTGCCCTGACTTCAGAAATCACCGACGCACGCCTCTGACCTGAAACAACCCCCGGCTACGACTGCCATGTGCAACGCTCGCTTGTAAGAGCTGGTCCCGTTCAACAACCGCACCGAGCAAGAATTCCGGGCCCGCGCAGAAACTCTACCTCGATATCGTCATGCCTAGAAAGATCTACTCTGCCGTGAACGCACGCCGTCGTCATCTCTTGCACCACCGCACCTGGCTGCAAAAATACATGGAACAATCCTCACCGAGCCCGATGGAAGAACGGAAACGCAAGCGAGCAGAAGAGCTACACAATATCACGTTTAACGAGGCTGGCCTGGCTATCAGCCCTCAGTGTTCGGACCCTGCTACCTGCTACTCGCTGACGCCCCATCAAACACAATTCCGCGCGCGCCAAGCGAACTCCTTCACTGAGGGCCCAGGTTATTCAAACTCGTGTTAAAACGACAGCCAGGACAAAACTGCATCTCGCCGAACGAGATCAAGCAAATCATCCTCCGACGCCTTCTTCTGCTTCTCCGCATGGCAGGAAACCACGGGCACTGCTAAACCCTCATTGTACGTGGAGGGGAGCGACTGCACAAAGGAGAACTACACGGAGGAAGGGGGCACGAAGGCGGAAACCCACATTGTGGAGAAGAGGAAGGGGCAGGACAAGGAGCAGCAGGGCAAGCTGGTCAACTGCGACGGCCCCGAGGGAAACAGCCTCGCCCTGGGGCACCACAGCAGCTTCAGCAGGGGCCTACAATCGCTGAGCCACCACAACTCCGCCAACCACATCCTGTGAATGATGACGCACCTGCACCTCCCCTCCTACATCCTGCTGCTACTGAATCGCCGCGCTGGCTCAACCTGGCCACGCTGCCGTTGAGGTTCCGCCACCGCCACCTGCACCACGCCCTGCCGCTGCACAGCAACGCTGGCGACGCTCCATGGGAGGACTTGAACTGGGTCAGCAGGGTCCAACCAGCTCGCCAAGAATGAGTGGTCGCTGCACCTAGACGACGTCCTCGGCAGTTCGGTGCAGCTCCACGAGGAGGTCGGCAGCAGCAACGCAAGGATACCTCGATGGCCAGGTTTGCGGCGTACCCTCCCCGACCAGAGGTGGACGCCCGAGGGTGCAACTGCGGCTGCCCAATGCGTCGCCAGTGTGTGAAATGTCGCAACAACAAGTGTTATGACGGCCAGTGGCAGGGTCTTTGATGTACGAGATGCACCAAATGCCGAAGCTCTTAGACCGACGACCCCAAGGCAAACTTCGAAAGCAAAGTTAATTCTCGTCGCCCTCATTCAGTTGGCGACTGTCCAGCGGCACCTCGTCCAGACAAGGGTCTGGACAAACGAACTTGCCAATTCTGCCGCGCCCGACTTGAGACCGCACAGCAGCAGCCCGCAGATAAACAGCATTTGCACTGAAATGTATGTCATCGTGTATGTGACTAGCACGTCTTACATGTGTACAGCGCAATGTACTTCTACAGCATGTGGGCCCTGCAGTTGCATGTGACCATGGTGGTGTGATTTTTGGAGATAGGCGAAGGTGTGTCCGACATGCCCACGTTTGTGCTACACGGCATCGAACCGCAGGCGCACGGCTCAAGCCTGGCAAGAAATCCTCGTTGTTCGCAGACGCACAGCGTCCAGCACGGCACGGTGAAGTCGGCGAAGGAGCTGGGCGGGTGGCAAAGATGCGGGGACCTGGTCAAGCCAGGGCGCGGCCGACTCTCACTGCGGGAAGGGCGCGCCGCTCTTATGGGGCAGCCCTTTCGCCAGACGTGAAGGCACCTCCTTACCTGCTTTGGAAGCATGGGCGGACATTCCTCGCTCAAATCCCCGGCATTGGCAGTGCCGCAACTGCCACAATGCGTGCCATGCAAAACTCCTCTCAGGGTGGCAAGTCTATGGGAGCTCTGGGCGCTCGAAAAGAGGGCGTGGTTCCCGGGGGTCTCAAGGGTGGGCGACCTCGGCCCGCGGCACGGACCAGGGGAGAACTTCCGCTAGATACCCCCCCAAACTGAATCTACGATCGCAGATCGAGGCAATCTATTCCTGCACGAATGGCCAACCTCTCGAAGGCGGCCCTGACGGGCGCCGAGGGAAGGGAGGGTGCGGGGCCTGGGGGCAGGCCGTCCAACACATTGCGCTGCTCGGCGCTTGCAGGAGGTGGCCACCTCCATATTCACAGCCGGGAGCCTACGCAAGACAGAGTGGGTCCGAGCATCAACGCCCCAAACCTTTGTCACGATGGTTTCGGGGGCGGCACAGGCATCAGCAGCCCAGCCCGCGAACAAATCCGAGCGCCAATTCAGAAAACAAAAAAAAAACTCATCGGACCCGATGGCGAATTTCTCTTGGATATCAAGGAAGGCATGGGGGACGTCCACAAGACGGATATCTTGCCAGGGCCCCTCCGATCGATCGCGGCCCAGACCGTCGCCCACATATCGAGAATGGGCGAATGCTGGGACACGTGGGCCCGCGGCTGGGTCATCGCTCGGCAGAGGGGGGGGGTGGTCGGCGAAGCAAGCGACGTCCCCGGGTGTGATTCAGCACGACCAAGAACGCGAACAACTCTGCCCTTGGACTGGACTGCTCCGGGGTAGGGAGGCTTCCGCGCACAATAACACTCAGTCGTTTTGGCCGCCATGACGGTGCCCGAGACGAACGATAGACCACCCGCATCTACAAATCCGCTCATCAAGAGCATGATTGCCACCAGAGTCATCAAGGACCCATATTCCACCTTCCACCATCTGCTGCTCACCAAGAGCCCCCAATACCAAACTCGAGAACGCGGTTCAGGAACGAGACCCCAGGTGCAAGAGCGGGATGGGAGGCCCCTTTTTCCAGAACGCCGACTCAGGATCATCAGAGAGGGCAGGTCCAGTCAGATGGGAAATGGTAAGCACGGCTGTGTCCTGCATGGACTCAATACTAGGGCACTGCCAACAACGATGCCTCATGTCCTATGGTCAGCACAACGTGGGCACGTCCCATCTGAAAGAAATCTTAAATCCTGCAACCTCCCTTCTGGCCAACAAGCACCGGTAAGTCGCTTGCATGGCCGCGCGCCGGTAGTCTCCCTCCTTGAGGGGGCTCTTGTGCAGGCTGCGAAACACTGTGAACGCCTTGCGCAAATCCGCGCGCAATAATGTTCAGCAGCCTTTGCCCAGGCCTGCGCTGCCGACCCCTGGCGGACTCGACGGACGAGATGGCGCCGAAAATCAGGATCAGTAATGCGAAGGCTCGAGTATCCAGAAGCCTCCCAAAGGTCGGCGGACCACGGGGCCCACTCAAGGTCCAACCTCACGTGCACGGCCGCGATCGGGCCCCGAACTAACCCCCATCTCTCAGCTGCAGGCCTCCGGGCGAAGGCGCCGTGCAAGCAGCGCCAAACGCGACGGACCCCTGCTTGAATCCCAGGGGGAAGCGCCGGCCATGCTTCCGCTCGGGCGGTGAGCTGCTCGACCCTCGGCCTGTAGACGGAGACGGAGTCGTCATTAAAATCATTGAGAAGGTGCCAGACGCCGGTAGTGCATGCACCAGAACACTAGAAACCTGAACGAGTAGCTGCCGACGCACGTAGCTTCTTAAGCTCGTGGCACGGCAGCCCCAGAACCGGGTGGCCCCAGGTCGAAACAGACAGCGCCCCTGGCTTGAATATTTTCCTGGATGTCCCGCAGAGGCTCGCGAGGTGCTTGAGTTTCCTGGACCTCCGAAAAGCAACCACGTCGAACCTTCAATTTCCAAGTAAGTCGTTTCTTCCCCAGGGTAGTCGCGGCCCCAAGATCTTTCACAGACGTGACAAAAGAGAGGCCCAGGTCCAATCGGTCGAACAGCGGCTGCAAGGCGCGCCCCGCGCCCTCGCTCGAAGCCACGGCGATGGACTTCTCAAATATGAAACAACCGAGGTCTCAAACGCCATGTCGGAAAGCGGTCGCCGCCCGAGGAAAATACCTAGCCAGAAACTTCGGGGTCCCGTGGAGGTGCTGCGCGATGTTATCTACGTAGGACTTGATGGTGACTCGACCCTCGGAGCAATCGCTGAGGCCTTCAGGGGCCCTGTAGTGAGCGCGCTCCAGCTCGTGGCAGGTGGCATTTTACCCGCGGCATGCTCTGTCCACGCCCTGCCAAAATAGATTCACCAGCCATGAGAACCTTGGCGAGAGACCTCAAGAGCCCTGGGGGAGGCGTGGATCAGCAGCCCGAGGTAGAGGAGGTAGGCAGGGCACTGGCGATTAATCGCCAGGTGCAGAGGCTTGCGGGGCGAAGCCGAATCAACAAACTTCCCCGTGTCCCAGTGCGCCCACGCCGCGGCCACCCCAGAAGACAGAGCGACTTCGTGACAAACCTCCCGGAACAGCGTGGATTTCAGGGCCGACGTTTTTTGGGCAGCGGTATCCCAAAACTCCAGGTGCTCACGATTCCACGCGCCAATATCAAGGCCTCTGGCCTTGCAGTATATGCGATACAGGGTTGGGCATTTCGCCATCGCTCTCTCTTCGCTGACTGACTTCGGGAGCATTGGCATCAGGCAGAAGAATGCACTGGGGGGAAGGTGAGGCGCTCCTCGACGCCCGCAAAAACATCCGCGAGCTGCTCCAAAGCGGGGGCGGGCGGGGTCAGCAAGAACCGCGGATCCCACTGATCGAAGCCAACAGAGGTGTGCTCACCGAAACGAACACAAACACAAGCAATTTCCTGCATCTCGAGAGGCTCTACCTCAATCAGAGAGATCTGAGCCAAGGCTCGCAGCTCGCTCAGGCCACCGTTCAGACAACGCTGGGCCTGCGGTTCAGCCGGCCACCAGTTACCCCAGAAGCGTTCACGATGTGCCATCATCGAGACGGGGTCGTTATTTTCTCCAGAGGTGTACGAAAACATATTCAACATGAAATCTATCTTCAGCCTTGAGATATGCACGCACCTGTTTGCCACCACGCGGGAGGGCCTGCCCCGACCAAGTGCGCATGCTCAACCGCGAGTGCCCCTGCACCTGCGACCGCGCCATGACTTCAGAACCCCGATCAACCATGAGCCGCGCATCACCACGATTATAAAGCAGATATTCCGAGAAGGGGTTGCCAAGCCTGCGCCTCGTTTGAGTCCTTGATGGAGCCCGATGTGAGTAGAGGCCATGGGCGCCAAGCTACACAAAATCTCACGCTGCCTCTTAGTGGGGCCACTGAAGGGGGCCTTCAAGAGCTTCCAATATGCGCGAAGACGAGCAAATTCCTTGGACCAGAACGCCAGCGCCGCACAGCGAAATCATTGAGCAATTTGCCCACGGGAAAAAAGTGGCATCGCGCCTGCGCGTCGTGGCCCCACGGACAAAGTACAGGCGAGGTTCTTCACCAACAGCACAGGCTCGGGAAATCATCATCAACTCCACAGCTCGAGACCACAAGTGATACTGCTCACCGAGGGGCTGGGAAATGTGCCCCTTCGCGCGCGCAGTTGAAGTTTCCAAATATCAGACGGGAATTAATTCATTGGCACGGGCAGAGAGGGTGGGGACAGGAGCCATACCATAAGAGAAGCATCAGTTGTCTGGACCATACGCCTCAGGGGACCACAGGGGGGCACGCCTCTGACAGACAGGAGACGAGAGGGCCTCAAAGTCCAGGATGACGCCCAAGCAAGCGTGGGCCTGAAACGGAGATCGGGCGTCAGCCGATACAGACACATATGAGCAGACGCTCTCGCTAAAGACCACGCAGTCAAACGTTGTCTCCTACGCATCGCAAGTAAAGGAGACACTCTCTGGAACAATCGTTCGTGCACGAACGGCCTCGAGAAAACCTGACTCTTCCAAGAGCTCGGGGGCCGCGTTGAAATCCCCCGTGGGGGCCCAGGGCGCGGCGAGAGCGTTGACGAAGCCTGCCGCGGCACGGAGACGGCTCACGTTTTCCCCCGTGACACCAATGGAGCCGACCAAGTAAATCACCCCCACGGCAATAGTACAAGTCCGAAGCCGCATCTCCAGGAAGAACCAGCACGTCCCAGAACCCACCAGGGCAACTTTGTTGGTCTGAATCAAAAACTTACGAATGCATAGACCTGGGCGGACTGTAGCACAGACGCCACCGCGCGTGCCCCCCCCCCGGGGAATCCACTGCACTCCGAATATAAAAGGGGCCGCTTCGTTTGTCGGCAGATTTTCTTCGCGCGAAAGAGATCAGCATCACCGCAACGATGGTGCTCCGCCATAAAAGTGCCATAAACCTCAGCAGCCTTAGTGGCTAAGAAGTCTTGGGTGGGTTTGGTCCACTTAGTGACATTAGCAAATTTAGAACGAACCCGAGCATGTGCATCCGCCACTCCTCCAGGGGTCGAGCCCGAGCTAAAGGCGCTGCCCATCGCCCACTGGGGCGGCAGCGCCTGGGACAAGCTGCTCGGCAGCGGCAGCGCAAGAAGCGCGAAACAGCTCACGGGGTTGGGCCTCAGAACGACGAGCGCGCTTAACAGCTCGCGAGTGCACGAGGTTCGCGAGCAAGGTCTGGTAGCGCTCCGCCCGCTTGGGATCCAATCCAGTCTCGGCAGTTCGCTTCTTGAGGCTGGCCAACTCTTCGCGCTCCCGGGCGTCGCCTGCCTCGCTGCCAGCGCCGCTCAGCATGTCCACGTCGGCGACGCCACCAGCCTGATGTTGCTTGCTTACGTTGAATGACATGGGCGCGGAATCGTTTCCACTGGCCGAGTGTGAGATTCGAGCAAGAAGCAAGAGACGCCAAGAGACACCAGCTGCTCATCATCCAGTAGGTGATGGTTTGCCTCCAAGCTGCTGCAGTCCAATTGGTTATTCTTGACATAGCCGAGGATGTTCTGAAATATGACTTGGTGGTCAGCACCAGGAGGAGGGCCGCCGGCGCGACCACCGCCACCCGCGTCAACACGTCGTGGACATGCGGGGGCAGCGACGCCATCGGCGGCAGCAGCCGCTGCAGGGCCGCCCGCCCCGCCCGTTCCAGGCTGCGCGGGGGGGGCGGGGGCAGCTGGGGCAGCGGCCGCCGCTCGGCGCCGCTCGGCATCCTCGGCCTCAGCGGCCGCCCGTTGGGCCGCCACCTCCCGCTGCTTCTGCATCTTGAACGCGATCGGGTCGAACCTGGCCTTCGCAGCGTCCGCCTCCGCATTCGCCTCGGCGGCCGCCCGCAGCTCGCCCACGGCAGCGACGTGGGCAGCCTCGTGCTCGGCCAGCAGGGTGTTGATCTTGTTGGTCCTGTCAAACTTCCACTGCGCATCTTGGTAGGACAGCCTCTCATTCTTCGCCGCCGCCTCGCATCGCCTGGCCAATTCGGTTTGCTCAGCGGAATCCAGGCGGTCCAACTCCATGGGCGGCAGGTCCGCCACGGGCGGGGGGGGGAGGGGCCGACACCGCCTGGACCACCCCCGCGAGCGCGGGGTAGATTCCCTGCCAATGCTGGAGCATCGCCGCGACCTCCGCGGGCATGGGGCCACCAGGGCACTCGGCCTGGGGAGGGGCGCCACGGGCGCCGCCAGCAGCAGGCTGAGAACTGGCAGGGGCCCCTTCCTTGTCGGCGAGGTACGGGGCATAGCACCTGCTGCACGCCATGTGCCCCCAGCGGCTGTACTCCCAGTGGCCGCATGCGGAACAAACCTGGCAGCAGCTGTCCCGCGTTGCCTTCTTCCACTCCCATGTGCCGCCTCCGCTGCGCCACGGGGCTTTGCGGCGCCACGCCATCGGCACGCTGCTGCCGTGGTGCGCCGAGAGCAGCACGACGTCGCGCTCACGGCGCAGGCGTTCCCTCGCCGCCGACCGCCGCCTCCGCAGTCGACGGTGCCAGCCAGGGGAGCGCGCACGGGCCGTGGCGCTGGAGGCAATCGCAGGCGGGCCGCTCGGCCCAGGGCAAAATGGCTGCACGCGGCACGCAGCGACGCCACCTAATCGGCCAAGGAGCTGCTGGAGGAGGCCAAGGAGACCCAGAAGGATCGATGATCCTCAGAACGTGCGTCAGCGCCAATGTGTGCTTGTCCACCGAAGCCCTGTAATCTTTAATGCGACGCAGGCGGTGTCGCGATGGCCGACACAGGCCGAGCGGGGTGAGCGCACACTGAGCTAATACACGCCCCGAGGATAATCGAGAGGAGGGTCCAGAGGCCAGGTCGGCCAGGCTGAAGGGGCGCGGCGGCGCAGAACTCGTCTAGCCACGCCGAGGGCAGCAACAACAAACAGACGTCCGAGGACCACCGTGCAATGATGACCCTGGCTCGCGATTACCGGAACCACAACAGAAGAGGCTACATAGGTGTTGAATAGTACGCAGCTTGTGTTTCATTATACGTGACGAGTTCCATCAAAATCAGGTACGATGCTCGACGCAATGAATTTAAAACTTTCAAGGAGCTGAACACCGATCAAGAGAAGAAGATCAAATCCGATCCGGCCCACCATTTCGAGCACCCGTACAAGGAACATCTTCATGTGAACTACGTTCATGACCGGAATTGGATGGCACCTCGACAGGCGCATGGCCGACATCCTGGAGGACGCAGAGGGCGACAACCTCAAGGTGAGGCTCATTGCGCTCCGCGGGACCTTCCAAACCCTGGAGGACCTGGACACGGACGTCATGGAGGTGTCGGTGGGCACGCTCGCGTCGAAATTCGCCACGCCCGTAGCCGACTGGCCGTGGAAATGGACTCGGGCGCTCAGGGACCTGACCAAGGACCCCTTCAAGCAAATGCTGATCAAAGCCGTGAAGCTGCTCGCCAAGGATGGCCCCTTCAAATTGGCCCTCCAGCGGCAGCACGCCACGGACAACAAGGAGGAGCTGTGGGAGCAGTTACGTGAAGAAACAGCCCAAGCCTTCCTCTGGGGGCAAGGGCAAGGGCTCGGGCGGCCGTAAAAAGTGAGGCTTGTGGCGGGGCCCCAGGGTGCTAATGGCGTAGGCCTCCCCCGAAGCCCCACGACGCGGGGCGCCCTCGCGAGCTTCGTGCTCATCTTCCGGCCGGATGCCGGGCATGGTCTCGCGCCTGGCAAGACGGACACCGCTGGCCACGAAATCTAATCCATATTCATGCCATGCATGTGTCCATGGACGGAGCACGGATGACCAGAAAACCGGGCTCGAAGTAAACACACAAACACACACACACACACTCACTCATGATCGACACATACGTGTATGTTGTCATAAGTGCTGGACTACGTCATCACGTCTCTCGAACAGCGCCTCAGGCCGACGGGTTACAAGGCTCCCCTGAGCTGCTGCCGAAGCCTGCGGCGGGCCCCCGGGGCCGCTGCGCCCGTCCCGGGCCGTGGGCCAGGCCGTCCGCGGCCCGCGAGCCGGCCTGCGAGGGCAGAGCCGCCTGCACAGTGCCCCCCGGGGCCGCCGGCTGGCCCGGGCCGTGTGCCTGGCGATCGCCCCGTCGCGCCCGGCCGCGGCAGGCGCGCGGCGGCCAGGACGCAGGCCGCCGCGCGCGACTACAGGCCGCCGGCGCCGGGCCGCGGCTGCGCCCTTCGACGCCCTCGGGGCCACCAGGCGGCATGGCTCCGCCTGCGGACGAGCACGGGAGGGAGTCAGGAGGCAACCCCTGGGAGGTCTTCGAATAGGGGCTATGGAAAACCGATGAAAAGGCCACGGAGCCCGGGGCTAAGCCGGATCAGGCGGGAAAACCCAGGATTGTAGGGGATTAAACCCGAATGAGCAAGTTTTCTACCAGGGAACCACCCCAAGTTTTCTACCAGGGATATCCCGGCGCCAGTTCAGAACTTACCCTCCCAAGAGTTGCATCCTGGAGCAACAGCGGGGGCAGGACAGGGGAGGGAGATCGAGGCTCCGAGGCTTCAGGGCTACGAGACTCGCGGATCGGAAGGTCATGCGCATGGTATTTGACATTTGTTCAACCCTCTCGAAACCTTCGAAAACCACTGGCTGGGAACTTCTGGAGAACTCCTCCTCCTCCTCCTCCTCAACAGCATGCTAACCCTATCCCTGCGGGTCCGATTTCTGACAACTGGCATGGGTTCATAATTCGAGGGACGTCCGCAGTCAAGTGAACCCCAACGGTGGCGTCCGATACCCCAGTGTCGATTGGACCCGCAGGGGTTGGGTTCGCAAATAGTCGCAATCTCATCCCATTCTGGGTGGAGCAAGGTGGAGGCGCCCCCGCCTGTGGACGAGAGCGACACGGAGCAGGAGGACGGGGAGGGGAGAGCAAGGGTGGATGAGAGGGGGAGGCGGGAAAATAAGAGAGAAGAAAGGGAAGGTGAGGAGAAGGGAGGACGGGAGAGCGCAGGGAATGGGAGGAGAGGGAAAGGAGGGGCAGTGGGAGGAAATCAAATGGGAAACGGACGGAGAAAAGGAGGGGGAGGACGGACGAGGGAAGCAGAGGGAGATGGGGTCGAGAAAGGGGGAAATGCAAAGGGGGCAAACGTAGGCGCGCGGGAAGAAATAATAATGGGGGTGGATAGGAAACGAAACATGATTACCGGACAAACCTGCCGCAGGCTTCAGATTTGGAGCCTGCGAGGCCCGTGGAAGTCAGTGGCAGATGGTCCTGGCCCAAGGCACGGCCCTTGGCAGACAGGGGGGCGGTAACCCTTTGTATTGCCCAATAGAGCTCGTGATCACAATGTCTCGACCACGCGATTCACGAACGCGCCCGCAAGGCCGATTGCGAAGAGTGCCGGCGAGAGCGGGCAACCCTGGTCCACGCCGCTGCTAGCCCGAATGCGGCGGGCGTCGTCTGCAGGGTCGTCCCACCAGTAGTGCGGCGTGGTGCCACTGAGCCAGCTGCGGGTGCTCTGGAACAGCCGCGGGGCCCGCTGGCGCACGCTGTCCAGCACCCTGCCTCGGAGGATGCAGAAACAAATCGTCATCTGTCCTTGGAGATGTTGCAAGCGTTGGGGAGACTTGTCCCCGGCGCCTGAACGAGTCTGGCGTCATGGAGAACTTGTGCCCTCCACGTCTTTCGTTAGAAGAAATTATCTTCAAGATAACCAATAGGCAATGCTAATACACTATGTGTTTGAGGTGGCGGCCACATCCAATATCCTCACGGCTGACCATATGCAGTAACATGCAAACCCGCTGTCGACCCCCGAAATTTCATATGCAAATATATCACCCGAAGCACGTCGGCCCACCTTCCCACACTGTTCACACGTCTGGTGCTGCGTCGGGAGGACAACGATGGGCACATGCTGATAACAAACCCGCATATACTGCGTCTGGTCGGCGGCCCTTCCATGCTCAAACCAACTTGATATCATCCGACCCTCAAGGTATTAGTTCCAAGAGCGAGTGTCGGATCGTGATTAAAATCGTCATACGTGACACAACAACACACACAGACACATACACACACCAATCAAGTCCCGACGGCGGTCGCAATAAACCCACATAAATTCAGAAACTACAACGGAATGGCCGGCGGCGACCACATCCGTGCGTCTCAAAGGGCCTCAGCATGCCACGGAACCCTCGGCGCATGCGCGAGCCCCGCGAGGCGGTTCAGCGCCACGAAACCATTAGCACCAATCACATCCGCGCGCCGAACGGGATTTGAAAGTGCCATGGACTCACGCGGGCAATCCGCCCCAGACCCGCAAGCACGACAAGAGCAGAGCGTCGGGCCGCACTGGTTGTACGCACGCGCGCATGCACACGCAGAATCTCGCAGAAATGCAAGCACTCAAGCAAATAAGCATACAATAACTGAAAGAAACGCCGAAGGCACACAGCACCGCTGAGAGCCTCGTGAAGGCGCTGCGAAAAACGCGGCTGCGTGGAATCCATGTCGAAGCTCCTCTCTCAAAGCTGTAAGCACGGGCGGTGAGAAGACAACGGAAGCGGGGACACGTTTGGGAGCAAACATAAAAAACACAAATTGAACCGTCTGAATGAAACGAATACGGACAAAATGGGCACGACGATCACCAGCAAATGTTGTCTCAAACCGACAGCGGCCGCTGTTGGGCAGCCGGCCTTCTGCCACACATGGACAGCACCCGCAGCGTCACCGACGAACTGCTCTCACTTTTCGCACGGCAAATTTATGTCCTGACGACCCAGGCGCTGGTTTCTGACACCGCGTGGATCGTTCAACCTTGAGAAAACAACGGCTTTCCGATCGACAAATCGCTCCATACTCTCCGTTTCCGGGCTATTGGCAGCATTCAACCTGGTTCGCCCGCGCATGGTCGCAGCCGCGTCGGCACAAAACGAATCGACACTGCGGACGCGGCCGCAAAAAAACCTTAGCAACCAAGCCAGCCCTGACAACCTGCACGCGAAATGCATTCGGAGGAAACCCAAAACACCTTGAACGCAACAGCTTCTTCAACGGCCGCTGGAAGTCATCGCGCAGCGCGCAGAGCGAAGAAACCCAGGATATTCGGTTGCTTGATTGACCATGTGGGAAACAAGTTCTTTGTGAATCAGGTCCTGGACCCTGGGACCTTCCCCCAAGACGAAATTTTCATCCAGAACCGTTGTCTGACACTCCCGAGACCCGCAGAGAACCCCAGGAGCCGGAAAACGGCGAGAACCCTCAGAACCCGTTTCCCTCAGGACCCGCTTCCCCTACGGGGATTGATGCGCGTCCCCACTGCGTCCACTGTACACATCTCGATCGCACCGAACAGCGGGGGAGTGTGCCCGCGGCGCCCCCCGCCCTCCGACGGGCGGCCCGGCGCCGCCCGGCGGCCTCGCAATTCCAGCACTCAGCCCCGCTGGAACTGCAGCTCGAGCGGCCTCGCCTGCGGCCCCCCGACCCGAAGCGAGACCATCTCCCCCACCACCTCCGCCTCTTCCTCCTCATGTTCCTCCCCCTCTTCTCCGTCATCCCCCTCCCCCTCCTCCGACAGGCAAAACTGATCATAAGGATGCACGGAAAAGGGGCAAGTGCATCGGAGGCCCACGCCGACGCGTTTCGAGCAGGGCGCGGCCAACGAAAGCAAATGGTAGGCCGAAGGGGGAGGATTGTGGATTGCACGGTTGTGACTATATGGATACAGAAAAACAGGAAACACAAATAGGGGGGTCCATGCTAGAAGAGAGCACATTCTCGTTCTCTTTGCGGAGGTGTGAACGCGTCCGTCACCGGCGCGCCATGATAGCTCAAGGGCCCGTGTGAGCCGATGTGGCGGCGCACAAAGGAACACAGAGACGCAGGATGAGGAGAGGCCGACAGGGGCCTGAAAACCACAGTTCCTGCAGCCGAAACGCCGTCTCGCCTCAGAAGATGAAATTCCTCTCTCAGTAGATACCGTAACCATTACACGTACTACCAGGGCCGCAGTGACGTGCAGATGGCACAGCTTCACGAACACGTAGCACCCGAGAGCATCGCTAAGAGAGATCCTTGAAAAAGATTGTTTGCTTCGGGGTCCATGATGACAATGAGTTCATCCGGCTTCGCTGGGTCCGTAGCCTGTCCCATCTGATCCATGAAACTCTGCGGCTCGGTTCCACGGTGGTCGCATGTTTCGCCTGTGCGCTCCAAGAAACGATCTGCCGCGCTGAGCTCCATGGTCCACCGAGGAACCCACCTCTCGCCCGTGGGAACCAGCTTGACCTCGACAATCGGGGAGCCGGAGTCCTCGATCGCTTCATCTGAGTACGCGTGGACACGCGGAAACGCTGTCAGGATGGCCTTCACCGCGAGGCACATCCTGACCGTGCGATTCCAGACCCTGTGCCATCCAAAGACTTGCTTCTTCGCCTGCGCCTTGTCTCAGATCTCCCTTGTCGTCGTAGCGTGGATCTAGAGCGCCTTGGCGTAGACGCTGCCTTCGGTATGGTACCACTGCTTGTGGACATGCTGCTTGGGGTAGCCCGCGCGACGGCGGCGATCCACCTGCAGTTCGAGGACGCAAGAGTGCAAGTTCATCTCCGGGCCGACGTCAGACGACGCATGCACCGCGTATCCGGCGCAAGAGGCGCGGGGAGACGTCCGTTCGCAGAAGATGCCGTTGACGTTTTCACAGGTCGAAGGTACTGGCTTCAGCTCAAACAGGCCCTTCTTGCTCCAAACAGATGCCAAAATATGCCATGACGCCGCGTTGGCGCCGTGGTAGGCAGTCTCGGTCTGGGCCTCCTTCTTGTTGAGGTCCTCGTCGCACTGCATCTCCCTGACGCTCGTCGGCGTCAGATCCATCATCAACCACTGTCCTGTTGGATGCGCAATTGGCCCCTGGACGTGAAGACAATCGATGAGTCCTGAGAGATGTTCACGAGTAAAGCGGGCGCCTCGATCCCACGTTGAGCCTCGGGAGCCAACGTGACAAAAGCAGACGTAATGGCGATAACGGATTGCCAGGACGCAACAATCACGTAGATTCGCTGTGCTGAGGTCCCAAGACCAAGACCGCGCTAACGGCGATGTTGGTCAATGGTGATGTTGGGAATATGATGCGACACCGAACTCGCGCAGAACAAATTACAGGAAATCACGATCCGCACTGTCCAACATGTCAAATCGGTGAATGTATCGAGCAACAACGACACAGTGAATTGCAGACAACACGAACCACGCTTTTCCACAATTGGTCTGGCCACGAACCAATCCCACCTGCAATACCGCAACTTACAAAACTGTTACCTACATTGCCTTTGGCGCGTCTACGGCATGAATGATGTTCTGGCACGGTTTAGCATTGCCAGGGCGCAGTAGTCACGTTGATCTGTGGCATTCAAGTGCCAGGAATCGTGTTTTGGCACGATCGAGGATTCTCAGAAGGGGTTTGTCTTCTTATGGGCCACCTCTCGCAATGAAACCACAGTATTGTAGGGACCTACGAAGCAACATCGTTGATGAGTCCTGGGTTTACTCTCTTCCTCATCCTCCTCCTCGTCGTGCTCTCCACCTGCTCCCGCTGCCCCTGCTGTTGATATAGGCCTTGAACTGCTGCCGCTCCTCCTCCTGCTCCTCCTCCTCCTCCTCCGTCCCCGCTTCGACGTCCAAGTCTTCCCCCTCATCCAGACCTCCACTCCCTCTGCCGAGAAGAGGGGAGTGTGCAAGCAGGGCTGTGAGTGCCTGCGAGCCGCATGTAAAGAGACAATCCATTGAGGAGAAACACACCTCGCGCTCCGTGGCAGACAGCAGTTGACTGCTGTTTAGGGTGGCGATGTGCGAAGGCCTGGAAAAAAGATTCAGCAACGCTGCAATTGCGCTGAAGGGGTAGCAGCAGCAACAGGAGCCACATGTGCAATGGGAGGGTGACCCTTCGGCGAAGCATGCTGGCAACAATGCATACATCACAACAAACAAAACCGACCATCGATAGCACAGGCGCAGAAGACGGCGCGGCGCCTTCAACAAGCACATCAGATCGTCGCTTCTCCTCCCCTGCGGCTTCCTCCACGATTATCCCACACTACCTTGGTGATCGCCAACTGCACGTTCAAACCCCCATTATCTCTGTAACAGAATCACCGTGGCCACCCGGAACACCTAGGATGAACAAATAAACACACTCATCCTCATACGAGTAACCACAATATTGCTCACGCCACCTGCTGGTTTCGAGGATGCTGGAGACTCTGCCAGTGGATCCCTCACGCAAGACATTGTTTCCTTCCTGTTGAGATATCAAATGAAAACAAGAGACGGACGTAGGCAAGAGGAAGAAACAGGCACCTAGTCATACATTGGAATTTGGCGGTGGGCAGTGGGCATGTTGGCGGTGGAAGGGAAGGGGGAGAAGGTAGAAACGTGGCAAAGGAGCAAGACGAGAAATTTACCCCGATCTCTGAGCCCTTGAGACGGCAGTCTAGCCACCCCTCACTCGGCACGTTCGCGTCGCAGCGGCGCGGGCATTGGTTTATGGCACAAGGTGGGTGGCTCAATCCCAAAAAAGACCTCCTCTTTCCGATGTCAGAGATCGTTCAATACTGGTGAAGCTCAACCTCGGAGACTCACGCCGGCATCGCCGCCGCGTCACCGCGGCGTGACCATTACCGCGCCCGCTGCCACGAGAGGGGTTACCTGCTTCCACGGGCTGCCCTGGAAGGAACATGTGCGTCAACAGAAACTTTCGGAACCCCGCGCGGATTTCTTGGATGGGGATTGGCCCCCCTTTCTGGCGCACGGAGTGCGCCAGCGGCGGCGCCAGGGGCGGCCAGCGCAGATCCAGGAAATCCGCGCCGAACTTTTAAAACGTCACATGTAAACAATGTGTTGTCAAGGGCGAGGAGCCCCTACCGACCTGGGCGCTTTCAACGAAAAGGGGATCCTCCCTCCGTATTCCGCGATTCGTTTTCCTCCCCCCTCCCTCCCTATCTTCCTCACCCTCTAGGCCTTCCAAAAGGGATCGTTATGCAAGTTCTTCTGCCCCGATGTTCCGAGGCCAGCAGAGTGGGCGGCGGCGGACACGCCTTGATCCACGAGGGTGCGGCCATGGAGCGCCGCGGGGGTCTCTGACCGGCGGGGGGGACCGTTGGGGGGCAGGCGGCTTGGCGCAGGAGGGGCTGCATCCGATACGGGCGTGTTGATGTTTCGTCTTGCCATCGCCCGGACGTCCATTCACCGTGCGTGTTGTCGGTATCTTGCGTTTGTCTGCCTCGCAGGATGATCCAATGTGCTCCGCGCCGAGTAAAAAAATGCACACGCCAAGTCCGAGCGATGCCAAGTTATTCGGGAGGCACTGGTATACCCTGCTTTTCTTAATATGTTGCCAGTCCTTCGGTGTCACTGGCAGATCCTTAACCGCATTGTTCGGTTGTTCTTCATCATATCCTTCAAACCTCCTGCTCAAGTTCATCCTCGGGAAAAGCGAAGTAGGGGTGTAGCCCTCCGCGCCATGAGTCTGCTATAAGTGTCAGTTAAACATCGGTTGACCCCATGAGTAGGACACAGCCGGCCAGCCGAAGGGGCGCGCCCAAGGAGGGCGCGCGCGCGGCGGGCGGGGCCCGTGTATAGTCCCAGTCGGAAGGGTTCAATATAGGGTATCCCGTTTTTGAATATCCCTGTTCTTCCATCGCCCACCTGCTGAGGCATTGCCGCCCAACTATCGAGTGAGCCACCGGATTCGGCCCTGTTGCTGGCGTCTTTAGGTGTTTGCTCTGGAACCTGATCCACCTCCGGGCCAGCTTCCAGGTCTGTTCGATACTGCACGGGTTTTGCGGCGGAGGCAACGCATCTTCTGGGCATGTGGGCAGCCGCGCAAAGACCGCCATTATGTTGCTGTGGTATGCGGCATTGCCCTGACGAGCCTTCTCCTGGCGTTTGGCAATCGCGGTCTCGGCGGCATCGAACCATTTGTTGCGCGCATTTCGCTGGGCACGACCAGCGTCTGCCCCAGTCCACCTCGTCGGCCCGAAGTCGCGAACATCGTCTAAGCACGCCTTTGTTCAAAGCCAAAAGCCTTGCAATCGATCTGCGGCTGGATATGGTCAGCATCGACAATGCGGCTGCCATAGTGCATCGTCTTCCGACACGCGAAGCACATCACAGCCTCTATCCGACTTCGGCAGTCAACGCAGCGCAGAATTTATCCGTCGCCCCACAAGTTAGGAGCGCATCCTTCTTGTCTTCGGTGGCGAGCTCGTCGCCATCATCCCCGTTGGACAGGCCACGGCTCTCATAACTATGCTTCGCACAATCAATGCAGGCCGTTCCAGGGCGCGGGTAAACCAGCGGGGCCGCGCACGATCGATCATGGGCCAACGTCCACGACACCTTTGCGCGCTGACTGCCCAACGCTGCAAGCCGCATGGCCTGGTGGATGTCAGCCCACTTGGGGCGACAGGTAGTTGCCAGGTGTACCGTCGCGTAGCATCCAGACGACCTGGTTCTCAATGAGACGGAGCTGAAGGTAACTGAAAACAGGTCGGGCAATAGACGTCGATCGTCGAGTCCGAAAACGACGGCGTCCAAGTCCTGGCCAAAGACCGATCTCGCCCATCCTCCAGGTCTGGGCCACCTTGGCAGCTCTCCGTTCACTTCGTCGTTCTCGCCAATCTGCGCGTCATCAACATTTCTTTCCGCCCCAAGAAAGCTCCGCTCTCCACTGTTCACCGCGGGGTCGTCGAGTGCAGCATATGGGCCAGCATTGGTCGGGGGACAGGCTCGGAACCTCTATTGGCGGATCCCCTGGAGATCGTTCTTCGGCGCTCCAGGAGAGCCGGTCATGCGCCGCTTCATGGCAGCGTCGTTCAGGGGAGCGACGATCGCCTCATGGGAAGCTCTTGCTGAAGCTTCGCACCCAATGCACGTGCGCCTCGGGTCTACAACCCAAACTGAATGACCCTGGCAGGCGCAAAACATGAATGGCACTCTCGCCAATGGCGGCAATATTTGATCTTCCAAAGCGGCATCATCTTATTCCATTGGAGCGCGCCCGAAGCTGCCCTCCCAATCGTCGGGCTCGCCGGTTGGGCCAGCGCCCTCGCCCGCCACGTCCGCGCCGAGCACCTGAACCGCGCAAGGGGGGCAATCGGGCGAGGGCGCGCATGCAGCGCGCCCATGCTTTGTCGCGCCCTTCGTCGTTCAGTATCTCGGCGATGGCGCGCGCTGCTATCCACCGCCATGAGCTTCGAACGTGGGCCGCGCCGTGCATCGCCAAGTTAACGATGATCGAGCCCAGGCGCCCAGCTTCCTCCGCGTCCATCCCCGAATGCTTGCGCAAGCGTGCGTTTTCCACTGCTTAAATCCGTCGGGATAAGACGGGATTCTGAAAATGGCAGACAGTGAGGTTCGACTGCGTTGAAAGGAGCACGTAGGAAGCGTCGAGCTTTCGCGGCGTCATCAGCAGGCAATCGCCGAATAAATTCGAGCAGTGGATCTGCAACCAATCCTCGCGCCCATTCAAGGGCTTTCTTCTCGCACCCCCTGTCTCTCTTTTCACGCCCCTCCAAGGGCTCCGGGCCGGTGTCGCGCAACTCTTCCAGCCTCCGCGTCAGCTCGATGGGGGCGGCGCATAGTGCCGCGTCATCCCCGTCACCGATGAGCGGGGCGCCGTGCTCGTCCCTCTAGGAGTGATCGAGCCCCACGCATGCTGCGTCCCCGACCTGCGTCTTCCTCCGAAGGTACTCGTCGACCGAAATCTGCGCGCTCTTGGGAAGCCTTGGCACTCCACTGAGGCGAAGGTATTTCGACGTAAAGACCCGAGGGAGCCTGTCAGACAGCGCGCCCAGAGGAATCAGTTCGGGGGGGCGCCCGCGGGGTATAGCCTCCACAAGCTCGTCCTCCTCCATGCTTTCTGTTTCGCTCGACTTGACCTGTTCTTCTGTCCCGCCGGACTCGCCCTCGCCTGTCTCTTCCTCCCCAGCAATGCCATGCGCTGCAGCTTGCACTCGGGGCGCCCCCCGAATATCGGGCGGAGGAAGGTCTTCCTCATCAGACGCGTCCAGCCCGCAGCATCTGGCTGTTTCCTGCGTGCTTGCTGCCCTCGCTTAGGCCATGAATCCTCGATGGGCCCGTGGCAGCGAGCATCCGGGACAGCCTCGGACGGTGAGGGATCGGGCGGGGAGGCGGCGGCGTAGCCGGGCCCCTCCCCTCCCGCCTCAGCCGAGGACGACTGCCCTGGCTCGTTGACAGGGCGTTCTGAGTCCACATCCATGTTAGCTGAAGGGGGTCTATCCTCCGCCGGCTGACGGCGTGCTGGGTCGACTGACATGCGCGACGAACTGTCGGTTTCTTCAGGTAACTCATGCGCGTGCTCACTGATCACGGCTTGGCACCACCACTCGAAAAATCTTGGGCCAGAATCTCCGGAGGAGCCTCATGCCTGCGCGCATTGGCCCAGTGCGAGTATGCTCGCTGGTGGGGAGTGCACAAGTCAACATGCAACGCAGCGTTCGGGACGTCGCAGTGGTCACACGAAATCACCAGCCGCAGGTACGCCGGCTTCTTCTTCGCACCCTGCCTCACCTCCTTGAAAATAATACAGTAGCAACCAAGCCGAAGGCAGATGTAGACCTGCTCCATTCGAGCCACTTCCCCCGTGAGATTAATTGGGCGTTCCTTGGTCAAACCCCTTGTGCTGCCCATTGGGGGCGGTTGATGGAACGGCGCCCCTTCCCTGGGATCAGTCGGCTGGTCTGCCCGAGGAACAGTCGGGCGCGTCTCGCCTGGCGGGATACGAACGCGCGTGCGCACAAAAGAACACTTGCTGAACCCGGCCGCCCCGAGGTAATCCCAGTTCGAACGCTGGCGAATCCTCGGCGGCACGAGCATGCGATAGGCCATCGTCTGTGCATGGACGTTGTCGAGATCGTCCTTGACAAAGTCCACGATGGCAAAGCGGTAGTCCATCCATCCGAATCTGTCGTGGGTTGACCCAATCCAGTCCTCTACATTATCATCGCCGATGCGGCGGACAGGCGACCTCGGCCTGTCACC